ATATTTTTATTACTTATTTTACAGAGTATAAATAAGAACAAATTGCAAAAAAAGTAACGTACTTTAACTTGATTCATATGTTGGGTAACGTGCTTTCAATTTTTTTATTTTGGTACCTAAGATGTATTAGGTACCTGAGTAATTGGTTGAAACATTAACCGGTTACCATGTTGATGTGATATCCAACTCGGTATCTAAAATTGCGATTGCCGGAAAGAGTAGACCTACTAAAAGCACCAAAACAGAGGGAGAAAGTAAGGTAGACGAAAAAATCATTCTTTTTCCGTCCAATAAAAAATCCAACGTTTTTGTTGTTTGACCGACCATCAGAAGAAGCATTGAAATTCTAGTAGTAGATCCACCCATTTTCATTATTTCCAAGGTTTTCTCACGAGATTTTGAGTTTTACATGTCTGCCATTTTACCACCAAGGCATCTTACATTTATTCCTATTTCCTGTGCAGCTTAGGTGGAAGGTGAAGAAGGCCTCCTTCCGGAAGTGGGTCCGAGCCATCAGTGAGAGACCATTCTGGAAAAACTAGAACACTAACATTGTATCAGGAGTACAGGTCAAAAGATGGTTTCAAGTAGACAGTTTTTATAGAATCAAGACAAGAATTCAAGAATCCTTTAATCCAGTAAAAAAATATAACTTAATTATTAAAATGATGAATATAATAAATGAAAATATGACCCTAAAGTTTTGGAAATTCTCATTTTTGATGAGTTTTCTTTAAATTAATTACATGGAAATATTTGTTTTATTAATTAAATAAATATTAAAATCATTGCTTACAACGTTAAAAGGGTCAATTGAGCATTTAATGTTCTTAAAGTGTAATAAATGATTTTGCCATTTTTTCTTTGGAAAATGAGGACCGCACAATACCATATAAATTAATTAAAATATTCATTTTTAGATTTTAGGTTTATTTTTTAACTACTTTTTATTAATATTTAAAAAAAATATAAATTATATGAAAAAATCATGTATTTTAACTTAATTTCTATTTGGATAACGTACATTCAAAATTTTCAGTTTGATATATAAGATGTAAAGATTAAAACATTTAAGTACCCGAGTAACCGATTGAAATATTAACCGGTTACTATGCTGATGTAGCGAGTGATGTGAGATCCAATTCAGTATTATTTGTTATTCAACCCAATTTTGTCCCATCACTCGTCATATCGACATAGTAACCGGTTAATACTTCAACCAATTACCCGGGGGTACTTAAATGCTTAAAACTTTACATCTTAGGTATCAAAATAAAAGTTTTGAAAATACGTTAGCTAAAATATGAATCAAGTTAAAGTACGTTACTTTTCATGCAATATGCCTTTAAAAAACGTTGTTATCTTTGTAATTAACGTAATTTAATGAATAAATATCTGTAATGAAATTGACATGTAATTTGATGAATGTGTAATTATTATATTTTTTTAAATAACTAAATGACACTTTTTACCTTAATAATAGAAAGAGAAACTTTCTCCGTCTCATAATTAAGAGCTGAATGGAAAAGTCAAAACCTACTAAAAATTGACACTTATTTTAAGACAAACTAAGAGTTGTTTGTTTACCTTTTAATATTTTCATTAAGAGACAGTTTCTGAATCATTAAGAGCTGAATCTTGTTTGACAAAAAAAAATGTTTGTCTCTAAATAGTTCTAAAACCTTCGGAATGATTTTGTATCATGAGTCTCTTTTAACCATTCAACGCCCTAATTTCATTGTAAACAATTACCACACAATTATATTTCATTTTACACTATATCATAAAAGTCTTTTAATAATTCTGACCACTTCATCATTCTGCACCAAACCATTCAACAACTGTCAAATAGCCCATAAAATAAAAAGATGGATACTTGATTTGGAAAGGGGGAGTAAAATTTTTTTTGTTACAAAAAGCAAACATTAAACCAAAGATGCTTTTGGAGATTAACTCAACTGACAATAAAACTTGAGGTTAGCAAACATATGACACTTAATTCTTTTTTTTTTTTTGTTATAAAAAATCTCGTGGGATCAGCTCAACTGAAAATAAAGCTTGCGTTTTTGGAAATTCTTTTAAGAGATTGTCAGTTCAAGTCTTGTAAGATCATTGAAGATTTTTTTGACTGTTCTTGTGTTATACTGAAGTAGTCGATGTACATACAAACTGATTCGACACGTAGAATTAAAGAAAAAAAGGAAGAAGGAAAAAGGAAAAAAGCGAACATGAGACCTAATAAATGGACAAATCATAAATTTTCAATTTTAACCTTTTAGTTTGGGATTGTGTTCGAATATGGACCTTGAATTTTGAGATTGATTAAAGTTTTCCCCGTACAAGGACACCTGTTGGCACCGACAGATGGCCCCGTGCTTGAAATGATCATCGTTAAAATCCTAGGTCTTTTTAGGGGGCGGTTTCTCATTTTAAATATTAATAAAACCTTGGACTTTTTTGTTTTTTAATAATCATATTTTTATTCGAATTATTTTATCCAGAAACATATCAATTTCAACTTATATATATACATATATAAAAGTGAGTTATTATATAGCTCGACAACCAATACAACTCAATCTTAATCGTGTATTTAATTTGATGAATATGTAATTTCATAGAAATTTTGTTTATTTCCTAATATAAAGTATTAATCATAATTAATGAACCGTATTCATCTTCTATAAATATTTAAATCATAATAAATAAATTCTCATCATTTCCATAAATATTTAAATTTTTTAGGTTGTATTAGTTGTACAAATACGATAGGTTGCATTTGAAACAATCTCTCTCTCTCTCTCTCTCTCTCTATATATATATATATATATATATATATATAGACTTGGGATCACATGAGACCAATCTATTTTCGTGAAACCATTGAGAGCACTTTTTAACACTTGAAACTTCATAGCAAAAGTGGTCTCACGGGTCTCACGAAAACAACATGGTTTCACGTGAACCGAATCACACACAACACACACACATACACACACACACACACACACACACACACACACATATATATATATATATATATATACACACACACACACACATACAGAGAGAGAATGAGAAAGAAAGAAGAGCGATCAAATACAAACTGCCCCCTTTTGTACAAACCCTACAAACCAATCTCATCCATCCATTTTAATGATCAAATACCATTATTAAAAGAAGTTATTTTAGTAAAATAAAAAATAAAATTATTATTATTTTATCCAAGAAAAAAAAAATTGGAAAAAGTTTTAAACCTTTCAACCCATTGAAATACATTTCCTCGCATTAATCCTGTATTCAATCCTATTTCCTCGCATTAAACCCATTGAAATGTTCTTTTCCCGATTTCATTAGTGAAATTGGTTTCATGAATGAATTTTTTTTTTGAAAATTTAATAACATGATTTCCTTAGTAAAATTGATTTCATGGTTCATACTCAAAATGAAATATGATTTATTAATGAAACTAAATATGGTTCAGTCAATGAAACATTTTTTGAAAACTGAATGACCTGATTTCATTAGTGAAATTGGTTTCATGAACCAAACAGTTTCAAACCTGGATGACATTATTTCATTAGTGAAATTGGTTTCATGTTTCATAATTAAAAATCAATTGTAAAACTACAATAAAACAATTTTTTAAGTGTATTTGATTGACATAATTAGATATTTTAAAGTGTATTATAATAACATTAAAATATTTTAAAAATTTTATCAAAAAGAAATTTTAAAAAACATACATAAAAAATGTTTTTTTTTATGTAGGATCGGTAACGAGACCGGTTATCGTAACCGGTTACAAGTACTTTTTACCGGACCTTAGTGTTTTCGACATGACCGGAGCTGGTTATACCGGGACCATTCCGAATTGTTACTGTACCGGTCTAGGACCTGTTTTTAACCATTACTATCTGAAAGTGATAACTGTGTCTTGATGGGCCTATGTTGGAAGTGGGCCAAAGCCCAAGAAGTTGGGCTGAATTTGTACTCCATTAGTTTTTGTGACATGTTTTGATACTAACATATTAAATTATGTATTAAGACATATATTACAGTTTCTTTTTGTTATGTGTAAACCAAATGAAGATGACTGGACTGGACATGACTGAACTTGACAGAAGCAACACAGTTTAAATAATCATCTCTTAAGTATCAAATGAATACAGGTAATTTGTATCTGAAAACTCAAAAATAGAAACTGATTTTAAACGCTAGTATAAAATTAAAGTCATTGAGTTTTTCAGAGCTTATTTTACGTTTGACTTCGCTGGAATTAATTTGGACATAGCATCAGATACCTTAAATAGCAAAAAGAATTGTATAAAAAATATTTTTAAAAACAAAAGTTTCTGAATGCATAAAATCGGAAACGGTAAAAAGTAAGAGAAATTGACCAAAATATGAAACTTCTCAAACGAATTTACTTTTTAGCTATTTCTATTTAGTTATTACACTTTATATTCTTATATTTAGTTATTTAATTACTTTATATATATCATTTTTTACATCTTTGTTATATTAACACACGAAAAAATACGTTTCATTATTTACAAATTATATATCATTATAATCGTCTCGTTTAAAATGAATCCAATATCATATACTTTGAATTTAATTTTATATTACAAATTATATTATTTATCATATTTAATAACCAAAAATAATTGGAAGTTTGGGAAGTATATGGAATCTGGTTATGGACGGAGGGAGTATCACCTTCGAGATTTGAATAACGGTTGGCCAATCCATCAAATCATCACAGATCTAGCATTCAAAACTTGCAACGTCAATCCAGTATGTATCCTGATCTATGATTCAAAATCTCTATTCGCCAATCAATCAAAAACCGCATTGAAATCGTTTTTTTTTTCTTTCAATCTGCAATAGAATGTTGATGATTGTCGAGTTTTCGTTTCAGTTTGTAGGGTCTTCCGATGCGTTTGATCCACGTAGTTGGAGGAATTTTGAAGATCTAATTAGTTGTAGATTTGGAGATGGCATGGTTACGCGGGAAGGTCGCGTTAGGGAGCTTCCCGGATTTAGCTGGAGCCGTTAACAAGATTAGTGAGAGCGTGAAGAACATTGAGAAGAATTTTGACAATGCTTTAGGTTTTGAAGACCAGCCTGGTGGTGCTTCTACTTCCATCAATGAAGGTACGTACTTGACCGCTTCAATTCCTAATTCAGAATCCATCCATCATTTTATCGTTTTAATTCTTCATATGGGCGCAAACGCATATGTAATGTCATACAGAAAAGCACATCGAATGTAACAGTTGCAACTTTGGTTCAGATGCCTTCGGGAGTTGTTTTATGTTTCATTCAACAGTTTTGCATGTTAGAACTTTGGAGCAGTAATGTCGTCTAGTATATTAGTTTATTAGCACTTGCATAGTTGCATGGCATTTCAGGGGAGCTTTACGTACAAAGCCAAGTTTTTTTTTTCCCAAAGCTGTTACTTCCAATTAAAAACATGCTCCTACTATCTATGAAAACCCTTCTAAACAAAAACCCTCATAATCTATATAGACAGATTAATTCACACAGACAACTTTATTCATACATGAGAAGTGTGAAGGGTACTATGTAGGCTTTTACGGGATATGTTTTGACTGTAAGTTGCTAGATGCCAATTATTCTTTTCGACTTAACAACTTGCTCCAACATTGCATTCTATGCCATAGCCTGAAATTTGCAGTGTACAGGGTTTGGATTATGTACTGGTTATATTGGAGTGAGAAATCAAAGGTTTGAGGATTGTGGTACCAAAAAAGCCAATCATATCAAGAGTGGTGATCATGGTGAGGATTTTTTTCTTTTTCTGATCAAACTCCTATTGTTTGCTTCCAGCTTCACACTACTGGTCTCCCGAGTTAATGGCCTTCACGGGACAGACAGATGGAAAAGGCATTGCTGCTGAGGCTTCCAAAAAACATGAATCTTCTAAAAAACACGAATCTTCAGAAAAACATGAATCTTCAAAGGAAAAGGAAGGGGCTGGTGCTGATGATTCAACTAACACTACCGGACAGAAAGATGGAAAAGGCATTGCCGAGTCTTCCAAAACACTGGAATCTTCAGAAAAACATGAATTTTCAAGTCACCCATCGTTTTCACAAGAAAAGGAAGGGGCTGATGCTGATGATTTAACTAACACTACCGAGGAACATTCCTCCCCTGTTAGGGAATCAAGCGAAGAAACTTTGAAGCCTGAAGAACATCATGTGTTTTCTAAAGAAAAGGAAGGATATGATGCTGAAGATTCAACCAAATCCAACGAGGCACATTTCCCACATGTCACAGAAGCAAGTGTAAAAACTCTAAAGCCTGAAGAACATCAAGCTCACGCTGTGCAAATGAACATTACAATTCCGGAGGAAACAGATAACAGTGCTGAAAAACCCGTAGATATATATGCAGAAAATATTGCTGAAAAACCTGTAGAAACTAATATCGCAATATCTCATGAGGCAACTGCTGTTGCTGACAATCACATTGAAGCCGAAGCTGATTCACAAGCAAAACCAAGTGCTGATGATGCCGAGGAATCAAAGTTTTTGGGCCGTGAGGAAAACTCAGAAATTGATTCTGTAAAAAATTATGGATCAGTAGAAGATGAGTCTACAAATTCTGTAGACCAAGTTTCAACCACTTCCCCGGAGCTAAATGAAAAGAATGCTGCTCCTGATATGCAGAAGAGTGACCATGAACTAAATATGCAAGATAAAATGACCACACAGGAAGATTCTGCAGTTGAAGCAGTGGATTCATCATATGAGGATCAATCTGCAAACGAGTCAGAGCCACTTGGACCTCAATATCCTGTATCTGAAGTGGATGAAAGTGTCGAAGAATGCCAACCACATTTGTTGCCAAGTTCAGATGATGCTTCTAAGATGGTTCTTGAAGTAGCTTCTAAGGATAACAATGACAATGCTAAAGTTCATCTAGTAAACCAGCTTGCTGGTGATGATCAGAGAAGTAATTTGTCTGGCAATGCAGATTTGAAGATTGAATTGGAGACGTTGAAGAAGGAGATGAAAAAGATGGAAACTGCACTTCTAGGAGCTGCTAGACAAGCTCAGGTATTTAAATTTTGGCCAATTTTATGAAAAGTTGATATTCTTGATGCAAATGTACTAGCTGATACTTAGGTGATTTGTTTAAAGCTATGTGAAATAAGTATTTTTTTAAGTTAGACCAAATTGTTTTATGGTCAAGCCAGGCAATGCTTGTTGACAAGTTATTTATATTGAAAGTTAATCTACGTTTATTCATTATTTTCAAAGTTTTTTGTTGCATCTCTTGCTGTATGTCGATGCCTATATTTATATATTCTTAATTGGCTAAATTGTGCATTTTGTTTAAATGTGTATCTCCTGGGTACTACACTGTTTCTTGCAACTTCTTTATATTTGTTCGCGTGATCAGTTGTTCCCAATCATAATAGTTATCTGTTACAGGTAAAAGCTGATGAAATTGCAAAGCTGATGAATGAGAATGAGCAGCTGAAATCTATAATTGAGGATCAGAGGGTATGTACAAGTGTATTGTTGTCAGAGAAACTCGGGTTTTCCAATAATTCATTATTGCAACCAATTGTACGCTATAAATACATACATTAATACGTCAATATAGTTATATATGTGTGACTGTGTATGATTCAACTCTATATTAAAGACTAATCATGTAGTGTAATGGTCCATACATCTATATCCAGGGCCTCTATGTTACTGTTTTCTGGTCGTTCTGTTTATGCCTTGAAGATTGTTTCTCTCTTCAAATATCTAAAATTACCATGAACTAACACAACTATCTGTGGAGAATGTGCCAATGAGAGACCACTAATAGTTATCTACTGAGGTGCATTCCATATTTTATGTTCTCCTTATTGGTTTAAAAATGTAACTGGCCAACATGTCTTACTATCTCAAAAAGGGCATTGAAAGAGAGTTGCTTAAACAATTTGGAGAGTGAGAAAAATTGTGCGCATAATAACGAAACAGTTATGTCCCACTTTGATGCAGCTGCTGCCTGAACTTTTAGTCAGCTAATCTCTTTTGTCATTCGTATCTCCTTCCTCCTATTCTGACTCTGGTGTTGCTATACAGAGAAAATCAAATGACGCTGAAATTGAATCTCTACGAGAAGAATATCATCAAAGAGTTTCGACTCTTGAAAGAAAGGTAAACTAATGCATTTTTCTGTATCTTGTTTAATCTTAAGACTTCTACTTCTAGAAATACTGTAGGAACGTATTGAAAGGAAGTGTTATAGGTTGCACATTGTAATTGTCTTATCATCCAAGTGTCTTGACTTCTGCAAGAAATCCAAATAGTTGGTATCTACTGGCTACTATATCTTTTTAAGCTTAATATTTTTCTTTTAAGCAACATGATAAGTCTGGATTTAGATTTCCTCCCTACGAGTCAAGCAACCTATCTTACTAATAAGAAAGTGCAAGTTCATGTAGTTCGTTGCATTATTCTTTGTTTCTCAGTCATTACATATACTATATGAACTATCAATCTGAAACACTTGACCATAAATGTCGAGTGGAATGTGATACCCAATTTCTGTGAAATAATATTTTACTTTTGACTATGTAGGTGCCCTGTCATGGTCCATTAACACATAACTAATGTTTCTAGTTTCTATGCATTAACTCAGCTTCAATAACTCAGGTTTATGCTCTTATGAGGGAAAGGGATACACTACGTAGAGAGCAAAATAAGATGAATGATGCCAATGCTCTTTTAAAGGAAAAAGATGAGATAATCACTCAAGTTATGGCAGAAGGTAATGAATCAGTTAACTGCTTGAGAAGAGGTTTCCCATATTCTAGCAACATCTGTTTTCCGTATTGCACTAAAGGGTCAATTCTTGTACTGATATGAGTTACAAGTGCCATTCCAATGTGTGAGCCACAGACTGGAATCAGGATTCAAAGATGTTTACGATTATCAATCTAAATCTGTTTCAACAATATACTTTTGATAGATATATCTGTGACCTCTACTACTTGCTAATATAGTTTCAGAGTTCTCTGAAGACCACATTATCTGTAGTACAAATGATGGTGCTATTCCTTTTCATTCACATAGGTGAAGAGCTTTCAAAGAAACAAGCCGTTCAAGAATCTACAATTAGGAGACTACGGGCACAGGTATAGGATAAAACATACTGTCTTACCTTTGGAGCCTAAAAATGTTTCATTGCACATCTTCTTATTAATTGAAATTATGTTTTTTGAGAATCCTAGATTAGAGAGTTTGAAGAAGAGAAGAAAGGATTGATAACCAAGCTGCAGGTAATTACTTCTCCAGCATAATAATGTACTGTTGTCAAGATAGTTTTCATAAAAAAATCGTACATAGCGTCATGAGTGAAGATCAACTACATCCGCAAATCTCTGTGGTTTGGTTCTACTGGTTTCGGACCTTCATCCTTCTTTTATCTTACATGTAGTCTACATTTTTCTTGCAAAATCTGTTGCAAATCTTCTTCTCCCGAGTTTTCGACCTATTATGATTTGAAAATTATGTACATTTATGGAACTTTAACAGTGCTATTTTAAAACTATGCAAAACGTACCAAAATTTTACTTATTGTTGACAGGATCCGAGGTGTTTAGTGTTTACTAAGATGCGCAGCAGATAGCTCATCACCATCACAATATAATTGTATTTTTTTTCCTTTTTCTAAGACCAGTGTCCCTCCAGATTATTATTTCTTCCCTTCATTGTTAATTGTGTTCATCTTTTCTTATTAAGTTCAGGTTGAAGAGAACAAAGTGGAGAGTATAACCAGGGACAAGGCAGCTACGGAGAAGCTTCTGCAAGAATCAATAGAGAAAAACCATGCTGAAGTTGCAGCATTAAAAGAGTACTATACGAATGCACTGACTGCAGCCAAGGAGGCAAAAGCACTAGCAGAGGCACGAGCAAACGATGAAGCCAGAACAGAACTAGAGGGCCACTTAAGGGAGGCTGAGGAGCGAGAAGCTATGCTAGTTCAAACTCTGGAAGAATTGAGGCAAATGCTGAGTAGAAAGGAGCAGCAGGTTTCCGTTTTCAACACTTCAGTTGAATATTCACTTGATAATATTTTCTAATATACATTTAGAGGGAGGGGGAGGTTTTAGGGGAAAATCTCAAAAATGAAAAACTGAAAAACTCTGGTAACCATTCATTTGAATTTCTCGGTTTTTATGCACGTGTGCATGTTATGCACACGTGGATACCGGATTAATTGCTTACAAGTTTCTTCTATGCACATATGCATACCGTCCCGATGAACTTGTTATCAGAGTGTTTTTTAGTTTTTCAATTTTTTTGTGATTACTAGGTTTTCCTCAGTTACTCGTATTAGGGGCGTTCGTGTGTAGTTTGGTGCGGTTTGAGCATAATCCTAAACCACAAACCGCACCGCATATATCTCAAACCGCAAAAAACCATACCGCGAAATGTGGTACGTTGCGGTTTACGTGGTTTGTACCTAACGCTTTACACCTACAATCCAATTATTATAAGATTAAAACTTTATTATAAAATCAACTATAACGTGACTGAAGTCCTAACAAATAAAAAGTTTAAATTTATTCGATTCCCAAATACATATTATATAATTAAATTAGCTTAAGAAAACCAAAAATATTACATAATCAAAGAGTCTAAGAAAACAAAAAAAATTACATAATTAAAAATCGTGTAAGAAAACTAAAAATATTAAGTAAATTAGCCTAATTATTATGTATATAATATATATATATATATATATATATATGAGACTAGACTGTTTTTGTGAGACCTGTGAGACCATTTTTTTACATTTGAAACATCACAGCAAAACAATGTGAAGGTAACCTTCACAGTGTTTTTGCTATGGAGGTTCGGATTTTTTTTATTTTCACAGTGTTTTGCTGTGAAGTTTCAAGTATAAAAATGTGGTCTCATGAAAACATGTTTGTGTCACTTGAACCCAACCCATATATATAATGTGCGGTGCGGTTTGAACCGTGGTTTGATAACTCAAAATTGCAAACCTCACTGCATAGTGCGCTTTGGTAAAAATGCAAACCGCAAACCGCACTGCGGAAGTTCTAAATTGCGTTCCAGTGTGGGCGGTTTGTGCAATTTGGCGGTTTAGATGAATATCCCTAACCAGTATATTCTTGCTGCAGGCAGTTTTAAGAGAAGATATGCTAAGGAGAGACATCGATGACCTCCAAAAACGACATCAAGTATGTTTTGCAGTGTTGCATCCATAATAGGGCATTAAGTATACATTCTGTTTCTTCTTTATATTGAATTTTTGTCCTCTTTTATTTATTACTTCCCAACTTAGTAAACTACCTATATCATTGGTCCGCAGGCAAGTGAGCGTAGATGTGAAGAGCTGGTTATGCAAGTTCCTGAATCTACTAGGCCTCTTTTGAGGCAGATCGCGGCTATGCAGGTTTGCTTTCATTGAGCACATTGTTCCTTGAGCTTTTCACGTTAACTGATCTCCCTTGAATAGGAAGCAACCGCTACAAAGGCAGAAGCTTGGGCTGCTGTGGAGAGATCTCTAAACATTCGACTTCAGGTCCCCCAAAAGAGCAATATTATTTACATTACAACTCTTTATTGCATATACTTCTTGACAGTTCCATTTGCAGGAAGCAGAGGCCAAAGCTGCAGCTGCAGAGGAAAGAGAACATTCTGTTAGTGAACGGTTATCCCAAACATTATCTCGAATAAATGTTCTTGAAGCTCAGGTGCTTTTGCTATCCTCTTCTTGATTGTTACGCCGTTCCAATCTTTTTGGAGGCCTTGTTAGACATGTACTAAGCCTATAGGCCGACTAGATAAATAATAAATAGAATGAAATATAATTGTTCATACCATATATTATATCAAAAGTCTTGAAATTCGAAACAACAAGAATATACTAAAATGACAAAGTAACTTATCAATTTACTTGAAGAGAATCACTCTTCGAAAGCCGGAATCGCCAAAATCGGCTAAAAGAATATAGGCCTAAGGGTCTGTTCATTAGCAGCTTAATACAGCTTATTCGGTCAACTATACATGACTGTTACGTAGTGACATAATGATATAGAAAGTGGCTTATTCAGTAAGCTTCTAGGAGGATGCTTTATGCAGAAAACCAAGTTTTTCCAAACCTGCCACTTCCAATTAAAAAGCACACACTCATTCCATATATGGAAAAAAACCCTCACGGAAAAACCTTCACAATTTATACGGGCAGATTAATCCAAATAAACAGCTTTATTCATGCAGTAATTGATGGAAAATCAATCAAACAGCCCCTAAAACATTTATAGATGGGATAAAACATTATAATTGTGGTAAAAATGTATAATTGGGCTAAAGGTTAAAACATATACAACAATTGGGTAAAGGCTAAAAATGTATAATTGAGCCTCCAAAATTTTGGGGTCCTTTTCCATCTCACTTTGGAACACCCTCAGGCACGGTCCTGAGCCATACAACGAACCGTAGCTTACAATCATAAATGTGTTGCAGATATCATGTTTGAGAGCTGAGCAAACCCAACTAACCAGGTCTCTTGAGAAGGAAAGACACAGAGCATCTGAAAGTAGGCAGGACTACCTGGCTCTAAAAGAGGAAGCTGATACTCATAAAGGTCATGCAAATCAACTCAAAGAAGAGATGAGGGAACTCAAGAGGAAACATAAGCACGAGCTGCACGAAGCATTGGCACAACGCGAACTTCTCCAGCAGGTAGTCATACATATATTTTAAAAAGTGTACAAGCATTATACCAGTTTCTCTTGAAAGTTATGTTGGTTTTTGGGTTCTAAACTAATGGGCTATAATCGAGAATATAAGAAACCTACTACTTACTGCTTCAAGATCTCTATCCTTAAAAAGTTGTGTTTCTATAGCAACACAACCAACAGAGAAAGATGAGATTTTTGATGTAGGAATGCATGTATTTATAGATTTTCCTGACAGCCCTTTAAACTATCATATTTGACACCTGGCAGCATTACTGACGGTTCGAATAGGCACCAACTGTCACTATTGACAGATTTGTGACAAGTGGCAAAGGTGACAGCTCAGTCCGTCGTGACTCTTCCAATAGGCACAACAGGTAACTAACGGCAACGGACATCCTTTGCCAAAGCAACGCTTCGAAGCACCTGTTCATGAAGAGGTGCCTCTTGGACCAATCTTTGCTAATAGCGAACCGTCGCATACGTTCACCAAGAGCCTTTTCCAAGCAGTCACACCTGTTACAATTTGGACTGTTTCCATATGGACCATCCAAAATAAAATTTGCTGCTCGCGGTGATGCGTGTGTGTGAAGTGCGCATTAAAGCGCTACATTGCACCCATGGTCTCGCACGCATAAGGGTGCGTTGCACCCTTATGGAGCCCCCAATATTAAATAAATATAAGATAATGATTCCACTTATATGCCCACTTTTGTTCTATTTTTTCACCTTTATGGGACAAGGTGAAACCCACCAAAATGAGCTTTTCTCTTCTTCCTAAGATTTAACACGTAAGACCAAGTTTTAACTTATTTTGAAAACTCCTCGACAAGTTATCGTTAACCTCGGAAGAGTGAAAGTTATCATTGACCTTAGAAGAGTGGCCAAGGAAACTTGCTTCATATATATCTTGCAAGGGGAAACTTCAAATGAGAATACAAACATTTTGAGAACATGAAAACCAACTATTTCATGAATTATTTATGATGAATGACCCAAATATTCATGAATATCATGCATTTTCATTATGAATAATTTCCGTCAAGGATATCTGTCAACGAAATTCATCATAGACAGTTGGTTCTCAAGATATTTACCGTTGAACCTGCCTCTGTCTTACATTTCTTTAATAATATCTAATTTATGTTGATTGATATCTTCTCTATTTATGGAAACACTTCAAGTACATAAGTTATGTAAATTATATTCTTGACGAGTATAGGAAATTGAACGTGAAAAAGCTGCACGTTTGGAACTACAAAAGACAGCCCGCCCTCAGCTTTCTCCTGTTTCTGGACAAAGTTCCATACCCAAACCCAAGTCTCCCTCTGAGAATGGTGAGAGTAGCTCTGTTCTTTACTATGATATCTCTTCAATTTTCTCCTCTTTTGGTGTACTGACTTGACTTCTTGTACAGGACTGACTCGCAGACTTTCAAGTGCGAGCAGTTTAAGTAGTATGGAGGAAAGTTTCTATCTTCAGGCATCTTTAGACTCCTCTAATACCTTCTCCGAAAGAAGTCTCAGAGAGCCTACCATAACCCCGTATTATCTAAAGAGCATGACCCCGAGTGCTTTTGCAGCTGCGCTACGTCAAAAGGAGGGTGAACTTGCATCTTATATGTCTAGATTGGTATGAAACTTTTTCTCACCATTAATGAGGCTAATAACATCCATTTCTGAAATCAAATGAACATTCAAGATGTTGTTCGTGTGCGTATGGTACACGAGATAGGATGGATAGGACATAACAAAAACTTGTTGTCCTACGCTTGGTGCGACATCGTACTGGGACAGGACAATGACTGAATGGCATAAAAAAATTAAAGATCACTTGGGTGCTGTTTGGTTGGTTTTTCATTAAGTTCTCTATGGATAAAGCTGTCTATGTGGATTTATCTGTCTATATAGATTCGGGAGATTTTTGTTTGGGAGGGTTTTTTCATATGAAATGAGCGTGTTTTTTAAATTGGGAGGACAAGTTTGGAAAAAAAAAACTTGTCTTTCTGCATAAAGCTCTTCCCTAAAAGCTTAGTAAACAAGTCGCGTTCTATATCATCATGTCCTTAGTTGGAACAAAAATTAGGGAGATGGGTCATGGTATATTACTAAACTACCTACGTCAAATTAAAACCTCTTTAAACTTCCACAATTATTTCACCTGCCTATCTCTCTCTCTAGCCCAGTCCAGTTCCGTCCAGCCTTGTTTGTGTAACAAACGCACTCGTATCCACAACACATTATATCACTCATCCCATATATCTAATTCCAAGTCTTTTTGCTTCATCATACATTTTAGGCATCCATGGAAGCCATTCGCGACTCTCTTTCAGAGGAGTTGGTTAAAATGACTGAAGAGGCATGCTTAATGCTTTACTTCTTTTTCCCCTCTTCTTAGCAGAACCAAAATGATCATGTGTTTCTTATCAGTCTTCTCTTTGGGATACTATTTTTATTTCAGTGTGAAAAACTACGATCCGAAGTGGCTCTGCTGCCTAGCATTAAGGCCGAGCTAGAAGCATTAAGAGTCAGGCACTCGGCTGCACTAGAGTTGATGGGTGAACGGGATGAAGAGGTACACTACTTTAAAAATTGATCAGGTTTAGCGATTGCAACTATTAACAACGTTTCAAAGAATACTAAAAGCGATCTTTTGTTTTGCGTAGCTTGAAGAACTTCGTGCGGATATTGTGGACGTGAAGGAAATGTACAGAGAACAAGTGAACATGCTTGTAAATAAGGTGTTATATCCTGCAAAAAATTTCTGGATCCACCTCTAGTCTGAGGTTTTCATGGAATGGCCGTATATATCTTACCGTCCCCATACCCCACTTTTAAGTGGATCCCATAGTCCATTTGGTTTGGCATTCCTGCAAAAGCAGAGTCTTGACGATGTAATAGATTATCCCTCCGTCCCAAAATTAGTGTCCACAATAAATGTGTAATTATTACACTTTTTGAATAACTAAATGACACATTTACCCTTGATAATAGAGAGATAAATTTTATCAGTTTCATAATTAAGGGGGAAATGGAAACTTACTTTTCAAGTGGACACTTATTTTGAGACAAACTTATATAGAAATGCATACACTTATTATGGAACGGAGGGAGTACTAAATGTGAAATAATTAATCTTATTAATTTGTCGCAATGTCCATCCCCGCAGATCCAGATGTTTTCATCTACCGGTGCCTAAGGAGGTCACTGTCGGTTGGTTGAAGATCACGCAGGTTCGGTTGTATATCTTGCAATACATCGTAACTGAATTTTTTTTTGTTACCTTCTTCATTATTCTTGTGTTGCAGAGTATGAGCGCGGAACCAGTTTCCAAGCTTAAACATGTGACATTTTTTCATTCCGACAATTCAAAATGCGGACACTGATTTGTTTTGTTTTCTATTTTCCATGTAAAATATATATTCGTTTCGGTTTTATGTTATTTTGTATTAATAAAATAGGTACATTGATGAATATTATAGTTAGAATTTATTTTTGTATATATTGTCTGTAAATGTTTTTTTTACAAGAATGATTATTCAATCAGGTTAGGGGCTGCTTGGTTTGCTTTCCATTATGTATGATTTGTGTGCATTAATTTGTCTGTATAAATTGGGAATATTTTTGTTTTGAGAGCATTTTTATAGATGAATGAATATGTTTTTTTTAATTTGGAGAGACATGTTTGGAAAAAAAAACTTGACTTTCTTCTTTCCCTGTCTTTCTTTTTGCTTGATGCTTACGATGGATTTAAGCGTTTTCTCTTAAGAAAGATATTAAACTTAAAAAGGTTGTGCACCAAAAAATCACGAGTGCGAGGCCATTTGACGTTTGAAATGAGGGTAGAAGCTATTAAGGATTTCTATGGGACTTTTGTTCCTTAATTAATAAACGTGAAAGAAGTCTATTTATCACGTTTATGGAAGTAATAACTTTCCCCAATAGACGTTTTTTGAAAAAGTAAAGCTCGGGTGGTGGAGTAAATGTCCATTTTTCTTTTCAACTACACCATTTCGTTGAGGTGTGCTAGCACACGATGAATCATGAAAAATTCCTTCCGATTAAAAGCAAGGTGATAAAATTTGATTGAAATAGTCCCTAGAATTGTTTGTCGTAAAGTTCTTTTTATTTCTTATTTTATACCCAATCTGATTCTGAATCATCGAGTGGAAATCTATATATATATTAAAGAAGAAACCACATGTAATGATGTGACCTCTTCTCAAAACAAGAAAATGTTTTAACTTTTTTCTCCTTTTTTCAAGCTTTTCCTACCTCAATATTTGTTTTTGATTTTTAATATTCATATTTAAGACCTTTTAATTAGGTTGTTTCAACCTATTCATATTCCCTATAATAATTATTTTTTTAACTCTCATTATTTCTCTCTATTTGGTTACAAATTTTCATTTTCTCTTCAAGGTAAACCTCTAYAATAATCTCTCAATTCTTCCTCTATATTCATGTATAATTTTGTGGTACACTTCTATGATRATCTCTCTATTAATCTCTCGATTTTTTCTCTCTATTCAGTTATAAATTTGAGGATGTTATTTGCATTTTTGTTTATTTGAGATGTCATTCAATAAGACAAATCATAATATGAGTTTGTGTTTATGTAAGTATAATATTTTCTTTTTTTAGTCGGAGACATTCACATTATAGTTGGAATTATGTAGGCATATGGATTTCTTTTTGTGTAGAAAAAGTGGCATATGAATCATTGAAGAAACAATTTAACATTGTTTAAGCATAATATCTCTCTTAACCTCTCAATTCTTTCCATCTATTCAGTTTTTTTGGAGGTCATTCGCATTTTTGTTTATTTGGGTTTATATATTAAAGAAGAAACCATGAGTTGTTGAGATGGCTTCTCCTAAAACTTAGAACCTTATTTCTCTTTTTTCTCCTTCATTCTTTTAATATCCACTACTATATTTTTTTTTGTCAATTTATGTTTTTTTCTTAAATGTTTGCATTCAACTTCAAACCATTCATCTTCTTCTATATTAATTCAAATTACATAACTCCAAACCATTCATCTTCTTCTATATTAATTCAAATTACATAACTCCAAATCATTCATCTTCTTCTATATTAATTCAAATTACATAACTCCAAATCATTCAT